GTTGGCAATAGTAGGGGTTAGGCAGGTTTCAGCCGGGAGTATTATTCTGAGGTGTAGGTGTACCTGGAGGTTACTGAGTTTACCTGTTTTTCCTCTCAGCCCTCTTAGATTGCTATATAGGCTCCTGACAGTGATTTTCATCACGTCAGCGTGTTGTGGGATGATGGACACTGTGTAGGCTGCCGGTTGAGGAGTTAATGTTGGGACTGATTAGTCGACTCCGACGGGACCAACCTACCGTTTTTTCCTCGTATTCAGTTAGGACACTTGGGTGATACTGACTGTCAATCTCAGTGCCGCACCTCCATAGTGTCACTGAGGCATGAGGATGTATTATTACATCAGCTTGCTGCATCCTAAGGGTCCAACGCCGACTTTCGCAGTATCGGATATATCTTCCAAATCTATACTTAGTCTCATGCCACCGTTGGAGTACTCGAGCCAGCTGCTCCTGGGGGCTGAACTTGATGATTACTAGCCTTCGAGAAATAACAAATACTAGATGAGCTGGACGAGGTAGCCGGATAATCGAAATCGCTCCAGAAGTAACTAGAGACATCTGGAATGACAGCTATGTCCATCGTTGTACGTCATGCAAGTGTTCTGAGTTTTTGATAGTCATCTTCTTAAAACTCCAGTAGTTCCCAATGGCATTATTGACGACTTCTGATCCACTCACTTAATAGTTGGCGACTGTTGCTGTTGGTTAGGTATCTTCACCCCCATTCCCAAATCTTTTAGGATCTTTTGTCGGCCCAAAGTTTTCTATCACATAGTGCAGTCCAACGCTAGCAGGAACATCATCGAAAATAGTTGAAATTCTTGTCTTACTCCTGCCTTTACTATGAACGCTTCAGTGAGACTTTCCTTGTGAATCACCTAACATCGCATTGCATCGCATTCTGGCTTCTGGGTGAGACTGATAAAGGTTTGAGGCTCTCCTTAGCGTAGAAGTAGTTTCTGAATGAATTCATGGTCAACGCTGACGAAGGCTTTTTCAAAGCCGATAGCGTTTGGGCAGAGATTTGATGGCCATTCCGTTTTAGATGATGATGCGTGGCGATTTACTTTCATTCGCATATGATTTGCTTTCTGAGGGTCCAGATTGCTCCAGGCATCGTTTCGCATCCGCAGGATCTCTTAGTTTCGCCAGGATGGTGTAACTTTATATGGCTTGGCATGAACAGTAGCATGATTCCACATCGGTTCAAAAGCTCAATTTGGTCTTTTGTGGCAATATGACAAGGTAGCCCTCCATCCAAGCTCTCTGTAATTGTGACGTCCCAGGCACTTATAATCCATCCACCAAAGACTTGGTTTTTTTGTTAATGCGAAGACAATACTTCTGTATTTCCTGATGTGTTGCACTCACTGACAATCTAGCAGATTTTTCCAACTGTACACAGAAATGATTGCATATAAGTGAAAAGGCTGTTTTATACTACTGGGATTAACATTTATCAAGTGTATGTGTAATCTCCAGCGAACATGTAAGGCATATCTTGCTACTGCCTGTAAATTGTGATTGAATTATATGGTTCTATTTCTGTAACAATTTGATGATGTCTGTAAACTGGCGTCCCTCATGTACTGTACTATGAGAATATATTTATTTATTTATTCATGTGCGTAAAGTGGGAATATATTATTGTAAGACTCATTTTATCGTTTTATGAGGGACTTGACTTCAAGCTTTATTTATTTTCCCAAGTATCTGTAATCCACCCAACGCATACTTGGTTTTTTTGTTAATGCGAAGTCAATATCTCTATATTTCTTGATGTGTTCCATTGAATCACCAGTTATCCGACTTTCCCCACAAACTAAAGATAAAATGACAACAACCATGTTATTTAACCGTAAATCATGTAATTTAAACATGTAACTTAAATAATACTTATCCATGGCTTTACAACTTGTGTGTCCTGCATTTGTAGGAATAATTATGCACCTTATTATATTATCATTACTGACTATACTTACTATTCGTATGTGTAATTTATCGAATTGATGATGCCTGTAAACTGGCGTCCCTCATGTACAAAAATGAGAATATACTATTATTATTACACTGAAGTCATTGGGTTCGTTTTGAGTTAATACGAGAGGAATTCCATCTGGTCCTGCTGCCTTTCCAGCTTTGAGCATCTTTATGACATTCTGACTTTGTCAGAAGTTTAAAGTTCACTGACAGTTTTAATTCCGTTTGTGTTAGTTCTAGAAAATGTTCAGGTTTTGGCTGAATCGAGTCCTTATAGGTAATAATAATAATGTACTCTCATTTTTATACATGAGGGCCGCCAGTGTACAGGCATCATCAATATGATAAATTACATATGCGATTGGTAAGCATATTTAGTAATGATAATATAATGAGTTACATATTTGTTCGTACCTATGTAGAACACACCAGTTGTACAGGCTGGATAAATATTATTTAAATTACGTAAATTCGGTTTATGGTTAAACTACATGGTTACTGTCGTTTTTGACATTGTTTTGTGGGAACAATGTGATTACTAGTGATTCAATGGACCACCCACAGTTTTCTTTGCTTCCTCTCTCTGGTAATTGGGTTCCCTTCGTTGTCTTTCCTCGGTTTAATCTATTCTGATCTCTTCCCAGATAGCATGCTGGTTATCTGGCATGATCCCGCAGCCTGATCTGCTGCAACTGACAGATTTTAACGGAATCGTCCTTTATCTTTCCTAGCGCTCTTCCCCACTTTTTTATTTAATGCAGTGTATACCTAACCCAGTGCCTCATTTGGTCGTCCATCTTTGCACTAGTTCATCTTATATTTCACGTCATCTCTACTAGCTTCCATATTTCCATATAGAGTCAATTCCTATCTTGCGTCTTCTTGTCTCCTAAGACTGGCGATACAGGTTTCCTTTAACGTCGTTTTCAGGGAGTTCTGGTACTTTGTAGAGGAGATTCTAGTGAGCTCAATAACAGAACACGTATGTGAATAAAAATCTAAGTTAATAAGGTGATAGTGCAACAATATATTGTAAAAATACAGTATTGAGCTATATAATTAATCGGTTACTTGGATATGCAGTTAAAGTCCACGCCTACAAATTATCAATATAATCCAAAAGCGTCCACTTCTGGAGTCGTGTCTACTGGTAGAAGCTGTGCGCCGGTTGTAGAATAGTCTTCGGATAACGTTAAGAGGTTCCTGCGAAATTCAAAGTATACAACACGTTTATAGTGAAACAAGTAGACAGTGTGGACTAGTGAGAAGACGAAGCGGCCGGCAGCACACTGGATTTCAGATTGTACTCAGAAGTTATCTATATTCCAAAATGAATCGTTTTAAACGAAATTCGTGTACAATGTTTCCGATCTCACCATCTAACAACCGTATTATTACAGACTCCACAATTCTTCCACACAGGTTTCCTCAATGATGGCACATAAGGACTCCGACTTTGCTCTGGTAGCTACAGTGAATGTGTAATTTGTAGTCTTGTCCTTCAGTTTCTAGGTGACGAACTTCAGACTCTTTGATGGCCTTGAAGTTTCCTTGAACCAGATGATTCTCCTGGCCTACACCTTCTCTTCTTGTCGATATTTTGTCACTTAGGTTGCGCCGCCACTTTACTGAGACCTAGGTGAGGTAATCGACAGCACGTGTCTGAGCCAACGTGCAAGTTCAAGGAGATGTCCAGGAGATAAACGATAACGACGAAATATGGAAGATATGCAGATGTAAGTGTATATCCTCTAGCTCAATAAGTAACTGTTCTATTTGCACCAAAAATGAACAACAGACTGATAGAGAAACAACAAAATATATTTTGGGGTCAGAAACGTAAAGTATTAGTGATTGCTTAAGTAGCTAGGGTGAGTGCAAGAACAACTAAAAGTAACACCGCAGCGTGCTAACTGTAGTGGACACCTGGTAGCATAACTTAAGCCTGACCAATGGACTTGAATAGTGAAGGTCTGCTACGTATGTTTTCTGATGAATACTGTGGAATAATGCATTTAGAAATTTACCGTAACAGATGAAATTTCTTTTGCAGTTTAATCAACTTTAGCTGAGTTTTGTGATATGTGATTCGGCATTTCCGGGCGTGAAATTGTATAAAGCTGAACCGAATGTCCTGTAGAATATATGAATGGTTTCATATAAATGGTGGCTAGCAAAAATTTATTCCTCTTATGAACTAGCTAAAAAAATCCTCGGGGAGGGGGGGTTAGGAAGCCAGTTAGTTCGGCTGCTTAGACTACTCTGAGCTCGTTTATGGCTGTCTTCAGCTGGAAATAACGCTAATGACTGCTTTGCGGTCACCTGTCCCGCTTGACCTGCGCTTTTACCATGATTAGGCTACTAGTGGTTATGTCTTTTGATCGACTGATTCAGTTATCACACTAAATGTTTGACCATTCAGTCATATTCATTTTAACAGTTTCTCTTCTAAAATTCGGTTGCCATGTTCCATCTTATAGCTGCGCGAACGAGTAAAGTTGATGATAATAAACAGATATACTTAGGTTTTCAACATCCTAGAGGCAAAACAAAACTGTACTTTCACTGTTTAAGTATGGTTGGGTTTAAAAATTTATTTTGTGCAAACTTACATGTCACACACTGATAAGTTATCTTTACTGGCGGTACAAGTAACTGGAACCAAGTTGCCTTGAAGATTTGAAATTAGATTGTGAAATATTCCGAACAAACGCTTGCGTCAGAAAGACATCCATTCTGCCAAGTTTAGTCATGAGGACTGCTTCTTTCAGTCGCTGATTATATGAATAATAATGGTCTTTCATATTTCCTTTAAACATTAGTGACAACGAAAAAATAAGTTTCGGTTGTCAAGGCACAGCTTTTATTGTAGAATCTCAGAACGGAGGAAAATGAGCTTTGGTACTCCTGCGGCAGAGTTTTGAGTTTCGTAACTCAGCAACTGGGTGACCTTCAGGTTATAGGTCACAGAAGGCGCTTAGTTTAGTTTCTGGACATGCTTTGTAATTTGTGATCCAGGATGGCCCTTCTTGTGTATGAAGTTCATCCCCACGTAGCATTGCTGCGTGAAATCACTGGCGAAAATTTCGAGGAGTACATTTTTGATGATTCAGACGACGAAAGTTACTTGAAAAGCCTTGACCCCAAAAACTGGAAAGATCAGGATCACTATGCAGTTTTAGGTCTAAGAAAAAAGCGTTTCAATGCTACCCCAGATGATATAAGAAAAGCTTGTATGTTTGCCTTCACATTATATTGTATCAGACCGCAGGAAGATCTTAGATCACCACCCTGACAAACGTCGAAGCAAGGGTGAATTAGTTGCAGACGAAAAACATGATTACTTTTCGTGCATTACCATAGGTTAGTTTAGCCTTCCATTTTGTTATCATTTTATGTATGCCGTGTTGAGTGCGTATCCTTAATCCATGTCAGCCGATATGCAGACACCTGGTCTTTTGTACGCATTGAGCGGAAATCTATCTAACTACTTTTGTTGAACTTATGGTAATCCAATATGACTGGTTTGTATCAGTTCCTGTTCCAAGAGTATGGGTGAAAGTAGTCAGATGTTTTGACATCACCTTTTATTTTTGGAACCCTATCGACTCTAATGCACTAGTTGCCTACAGAATATCATCAAATAATTAGCGTATTTTTTCGTGATATCATATGTTCTACTTCACTACTCTAAAATGTACATTAAGCATATGCATTAAAACCTCTTGATCGTAGATGCCTCTGTTCCATTACTCGCTCTAGTTAAAACTACATTAGTCACGTGTGCGTTGGTGGCACAACGTTAAGGACTCTCGCCTGCCATGCACATGGTCTGGGGTTTGATCCCCTGCCGATGCACACCTGATATCAATGATTGGACTGCAAAATTTAGGCTACCGATATCACATGCTGAAATTTCTATGCTTGTACCAAAAATACAGTGTGGAATCAAGCTATAAAAAAAAAAAAATAATGGTGTTAGGTGAAGAAAGTGAATCAGTCAAGTAAGGATTCAGTTCTCACAGGAGTAGTCGTCCATGCGTTACACTCACGGAGCCGTTGCTGTGGCACGCAGTATCAGTTTATTTAGGACTACGTTGAAAAATAGTCGAGGGTCAAACCAAAGCTCAGCACCAATCCATAAAACTTGTAGGTTTTCGTCTGAGCCAATTAAGCTTTTGTAGATTCTTAAAATTATTCGACGGAGGCTCTTCGCGACTGGGCTTAAAACACTTCACATATGTACGTACTTTTGGCCATCTAAATTCTAAAAATTTCAACTAGCATTTATTTGTCTGCTGTTTCTTTCATCTTCCTCCAATATAAAATGGTCATCTATGTGATGCTCCGAGGTGTAACAACTAGGATTGGAGGATTTCTGTGCAAATTTCTTCTCTTAACTATTGTTTACTTACATTTTCACGTAATTTAGCAAAATACTTTGCTCATATTTCGTTAGTTTCTGGCTGAATAACATTTTAATCTTTCATAGTGTGACTACCAAAATAGTGAAAAAACTTTTCCAAAATTCTTGTTTGAATAGCTTTTGAAATACTGGGAAATCCCAGCAAACGTCTTGCGTACGACAGTGTAGATCCAGTTGCTGTAGACGATTCAATCCCAACCTTAAGCGAAATCAAGTCCAACTTCTTCACTACGTTGGGGAATTTCTTCTATCGGAAATCTAGGTAATGCATTTTATATTCTTGCTTCTAACAATTCAAGATGGTCTAAAAGGCAACCTACACCCCATCTCGGAAACAGTCTAACAGACATTGAAGATGTCCTTAAATTTTATGACTTTTGGTGAGTTCAATAACTAATTTGACATATATATCTATGTATACATATGCTGGGTATATACTGTGCTTAGACAGTTTAGTATTCAATTATTGATTATAATTTGAGTGTTTTTCGTATTACGTAGGGAAGTCATATTAGATTTGTTTGACTGTCTTGTCAACCATGCTTCTATTGTCACATATTCCAACATGGCTATAGTTAACTTAATAACGTGGCTATTTCCACAGAAGCGCATCAGTTCAAGTTGCCACGTCTAAGAGAGCATACATGAAAGTGTCGAAAAAACCTAAAGAATATCAAAATAGAACTTGTGCAGTAAGTTATACAGCAATATTAACTGATTAGTGTACTGTATAACGCTGTGAAACTTATCAGAAATAAATTTTATGCACAATGGAAAACTTAATGAAACTACAACTGAATATGTGCGAAAGAGAATAGATTTCCCGGAATCTCAATGATAAAGTAGAATGGATACATTTGCCCTCTTGTGAATAATTTTGGACTATGTCACAGACAGTCTCAAATCACCGGCTCGTAGCATCCTGAAAATGCTGGCCATGTTTTGTTCTCACCACCATATCCAATTTATTCACATTTTAAATAACGCTGCTCATCGAGTGTAGTGGTTGTCTGGACTGCAAAACGTTTCCCATATATCTGAATCAGTGCAGCTTCACAACCTAATCAATTGACTTTCTGTGCCTAACCTCATTATTACTTAGTTGCTTCATCTAGTGTAAGAAGTTAAACAACGGCACTTAAGTTTGAAATTATTAATCTTATCGTATCTTCTAGTTTCAGAGGTCATGTTTCAGTGTTAAAGACCGACTGAACTACTGCACACTTTAACAAACATCCGATTAACAATCTGATGCCAAAAATTGATGCGATTTAACAAACTTCAAGTGCTGAGCTTTTGTCAGCGTTCAGTCTGAACTAATGCAACTACCTGAATAAAAGAAATATCCGATGCGTTCAACTTCTAGTTTAAAACTAGTATTTGGTACAGACCAGTATTTTATAATCATCTCACTTTTGGAAGGTGGACCGCTTGCCAAATGTACACAGTCTTGTTCATGGTGTTCAGAAAACCACATTTTTTCAAGGTCTTCATTTAGAAGGACTTTGTCGGTGCATTTTAAATCACCGAGATTTATACTTTCCAACAGGTTGATCCATGAGAAATATAAGTTGATCAGATTCATACCCATTAGTATATCCATGAAGAAAAAGGTTAAATTGAACATCCTTGACAGATAGCTGGAAAATACCACTTGTTTCAATGCCTCAAATGAAAATTCTAGTATATCTTCTGAATCTGTCACTGACTACCTAAAGTGTACCAAAAGTGAATGTGGGCGGAATGCCGTTTGCGCTTAATGCAACTGTGAATATTATGATCCCATAGAAGAGGTCATAACCAATTGGCTGTTTAAGTTTGAGTTCAAATCAATATAGACACTAACTTATGTATGCTTCACATTTTGAAGCTGCCATTTTTCCAAATTTCAGTGAAATCTTTAAGCGTTTTGACTATGCTTTAACCGTTTCAACCAGTGGATCGAGTCGAACCTCCTACCCACCGAAGTTTTGGTAGCCATCACACACCAGGTGCGTGGTTACATATATGGTTGTAGAGATATATTCCTTGAAACTCAAAACTTCACTTATATTCTCAAGCATGGATAGATGTTTGAATATCAGAAGTCGAGTCTATATTCACTTATTTCTAAAATAGTAACTTGCTTTTCAGAGCAAGTTCCGACTCGTATATGAGGACCATGCATTTGGCAACTATCATTTACAACATACAACTAATGACGTCAACGAGACTAATTTTTGATGTTGTTACAACTCATATCATGGTTAACTGGAAACATGGTCAAATTTTTCCAAAGTGTAGATTTATATAAATCATCACATTTCAAATGAACCTACTAAAAGAAAGTTCAGAGAAGTGGCGAAAGAAAGTATAGGCAGTCTAGGGATGAGCGTGTAACTACTTTATGGCTCATGATAAATAAACACATTGAAATGATAAATTCATTAGAGCTCTTGTCGATATGGATTGCCAAATTTCAACTGTTTTAAAGGCGTTGTTTTGAGAAATTAGTTCTTGCAACTATACTTTAACTTTTCTGTAACACGTATTCTAATCAAAACTTAAGCCAATGAACGACATCTCCTGTGTTAAATTAAACAGTAATTACACATAAAACTCCATCACCACCTCATTGAGTACTTTATACATTTTGCCTATTTCACTATTTTCCTCTCTAGCACTTTGTACAAACCTTAAATCAGTCTGTCAAGTTTAAAATTAGTGGTAAATCCTAAATCCTGAAATATTGGTTATTCTTATATTTATCGTCCTGTCTGTCTGTATATATATGCCCGTAACCTTTTTCCTACTATTCCAATTGTTTTAGGGAAGAATATGACACTTGTCGTGATTACTCTTACCTGGATGAAGAAGATAAAGAGAAAGGTGAAGAGTACGTTTCATTTGAAATTATACAATGTATTATTGTCGTAAAAACATTGGTAATAATGTTTTCTGTATTTCTGGTACTGACATTACGGCATTTCTGTTGCTTATGCGAGGTTTAGGTTCGATGGACAAAGATTGTGATCAGCTTCTTTCTATTTAAGTGTACTACTGCTTAAAACTAACCCTGTGTAACTAATGATTTGTTGTATCGGTGCATGCATCGCAGTATTATTAGTAAATTAAAAAGTGCGAAATAATATAGTATATGAACAAAGTCAGAAGGTTGTGGAAGTACCTCAATACAACTATGAGCAACACATTCTGCTGGAAATGTTGTCAATAAACAGTTATTACTTTTTCGATTTGTGTTATATCAAAAAAAATCATTGTTTTATGATATTATACTCTACCTGTGTCTTTTTCTGATGACATTATTATATATGACCACTTGAATGACCTGCCTTTTTCACTGGGTTCTACGTCAATTTGTCCTCATGAGACTCAAACTGTGATTAAGCTAACTTTTAAAATTTATCCTCGTTCATTTTAGTCGAGAAACACGACGTGCAATAGAACGACAGAATCGTTTAGATCGAGCTCGTCGCAGGAATGAAGAAGTGGGCAATGTACGAAGCGTGGTCATCTTAGCTAAAGAAAACGATCCACGAATTTTGGCCGCTAACAAGGCAGCACGTGAGGCAAAGGAAGCGAAACGTCAAGCTCGTTTAGATGCTGCACGAAAAAAGAGGGAATTAGAGGAGGAGGTAAAGTTTGGTATTATTTGTAAATAAAAGGATTTTGTCGTGCTACTCCGTGTTTCCCCTCTAGAAATGAATACATTGTATTTCTAAAAAATATGTCCCAAGTTGCAATAAGCCGGTTATTTTACTTTTTTCCACCTCCACGCACTTCCTTTTATTCCCTAACCACATTAACGGCTCTTGGGAGGTTTATTGGTAACCTCTTTTATAAATGTATGTACTCGATTGTGGTTACTCACAGAAACAAGGTGTATGCTAAATTACTTTGTACCCTTATCCTGAGCTTCCTACTGATTGTTAATTACCCAACATAAATTCAGAGGCCCCATGATATTGAGTCTGCTGGGTTGATCACTTTGCAAACTTGTTTGACAGAATTCCGTCAGCATTAGTGACAAGATGTTTCTTTAAAAACTTTATAAACGGATTCCCCTTTTCATAAATTTAAACAGAACTAGGACAAAAATTGGCACAGAATAACATAGACCCACTTTATTTTGTTGGTTCTCATCAGCTACGTACAACTTGTAACACTTAATCAAACAGGTTATAATACAATCTTAACATGTATTTTGTTGATAATCAAGAGTCGGTATTCCAGTAAGGATTGTTGTAAAAAAATTCATAGTGAGACTAAGCATAAGGATTTCAAGGTTATCTTAAATTATAAATATCTTTATAACTAAGTATCTGTGACATTTTGAAAGCTGACACCAGATTCCTTATTGTAGAATTCGTGTATGGGAAAATTCTGTCGCTGGAGGGAGTCGTATCACCCCTAAAATATAGTTATGTAAACAAAACATGTAGACGAACAATATCAGTTTCCGTAATAATTTTACTATCAGTAATTCTAATATTAGCGATAACGGAAATATTAACAGTCGATGCAGACGATAACAATGACCACATTTCATTAATCAAATCAGGTTAAAATGAAATTCAACTCTCGTTTCACTAGTCTGTTTATCAGACTATAACTGCATGGCAGAGTGATAACATCTCACAAGACTGAATTATCACTTTTTATAAAATGTCAACTGCGTAAATATTCCAAAAGTTGATAAGCTGGTCACTGACTTACCGTGACATATGTTTAGGCAGATCCTGGTTTTATATACGCAAGGTAAATGGAAACAAGAATAATATTAATGAACATATTTTCAGTGATACCTAAGTGATTGGAGTTTGAAAACTTGTAACGAGTCTTTGGTGTATTGCGGCATGGAACTCCGTGTATAAAATCATATTTAGCCGATCTAGGTGTAGTGCTGTTTCAGGGCTGAACCTATTGGCTCAAAATCAACTTTTTAAGTCAGTTAGACGCACCACAAATGAAGAGTACGGTGAAGGTCATAATGAAGCCAGTTTGCGAATAGTCAGTATGACCATTCTATTTACATGTACTATGCTGGAGTGCCTCTTTTTTGCTATGACGACAGTTTTTACCTAGGCATACTGTAAAACTAGTTAGAAGGACCTAATAATTTTCACAGTATGCGTCTCATATTCTTTGCCAAGTGAAGTTTTTCTTCATAATTTTGAATTATTTCTGAATGTTTCAGCAAATGAAGCGTGAAGCTGAGGCTGCTGCACAGGCTCGTGCAGCTAGTGAGGAGCGTCGACGTGTAGAGGCGGAACGTATTCGCAAAGAGCGTGATTTAAGCCGCATGGAAGCGAAACGTGAACGGCGTCAGTTACGAAGTATCCTTGTCGACCGGTACAATTATTTTCTATCTACTAGTGAGGTTGATACAGGATCTCACCAGGTTAAAATTTTAGCTGATATGGATTTATTATGTCAACGTTTGTCTAACGCACAGTAAGTATGTTTGGTCTGTATGACGTTTTTTCAACTGTTTACTTCAGTTTTTTTTGGATGAATCATTAAATATTTTAGATAAGAGTGAAAGTACAATTTCAAAGATGTAATTCTCATAAAAGTGATAGAAAAACAGTACATTCACTGCATCTCCCAGATATTAAGTAATACTGCCTTGACAGTTGTATGTCATGATGGGTGTTTTTTGAATCCATCATCCACGTATATGTGTTCTGTTGACCTTTGCGTCGCAAGCGAGATATAGGGCTTCAAGCTTGAACTTCGAAGTTTCAATAGCGTGGTATTTTTTTACGGGGTAGACTTGCTATCCTCATTTCCAACCTTTATCGTCTAAGAGGAGTTTAGACGTGCGTCAGCTGGCAAATCGAACCACCTGCATGGTTGGTAAGCATTCTACCAATGAACCACCGATGCGAATCTGTTTCCTCTTCGTTCAAGACTTTTCAGCAGCACGACCTCACCAAGGATTGAACCTAGGAATTTCATGTCAATAATCGAGCTCATTGACTGTTCAACCACTTGAACTCTATTGAATTATGTCCTATTTATTTTTCAGTTCCAATGTTGTGCGTTCATTTGTTGAAGATCTAGGACTTAAGCGTCTGACTCTTACTTGGCAGCACAGAAAAGTATTTTCTGAAATTATTTATTCATATTTGTGATTTCCCATTGAAATATCTGAAGTGAACTGGCATATTGGGTCTTTGAACAAATACCTCCATATAATTACCACCAGTGGCCTAATAATGGATAACGCCTTGATATTTGAATTAAGGGCGATGCGTTCGAGTCTCACTATGATGAACGCCATTACTCACTGGAGAGCGGGTTCATTTAGCTGACGAGTCACAAATGGAACAAAACTTGCGTCCAGGATTCTGCTGTCAATTACCACCGAAAAATAACTTCGAGTGGTGCTCTTAGTCAGTGCTTATATCAAATAAAAAGATATCATTTCTAGACGTTGGGGAATTTATTCCGGCTATAAGTGCTCTGCTTATTATCATGTATTGGTTTCTTCGTAACTGTCTTGATGTTATTCATAACGATATTGATGATTTGTGAGCAGTAATTTTGTATCTCAGGGAATTATATGTCATAATAAATGTACACTTTACATTCAAAAAGATTAAAAACACTACCGCTGTAGAGATGATTTACCCTAGTGACTCTTAAACTTTTTGTCTAAGTATTAATTTCCTCATTTCTTGTTATAATTCGTTTTTTATTTTGTGATTTGTATTTGTTACATATCAGATTGCATGATTTGAATGAACGCTTGGAAAACACTGATACAACTGATCAAGCCCGTGATATTTTCACATCTGAGGTGTGTGTACAGCTTTTCACCATTTATTAGTAATTTTTAATGTGATATTTACTTCACTTCTTTTTGAGAAGTTTTCGTATGATTCTTTTTTTAATTCTTTTACGTTCCCAGTGGAACATAAGGATTCAAACTAGAGGCTTGGAGTTTCAATAGCAGTGGTGTTTATTTTTACGGGATGGGTTTGCTAGCCTCATGCCCAACTTTCCCTCTTCACCAGTCTTATTACTAACTTAGCAGGCTGAGGAAGTGCGTTGGCCGGGCATCAAACTCCGAACCAACTGTGGCGTGGTTGGCGAGCATTCTACCGCTGTGTCACCGACGCTTTTTCATATGATATTATTGTATGAAATAGTTTCCACGCGCCAACCACCATAGTGATTGATTTTCTTGGTCACTCAAAATTTTTATAAAGATTAGGAGAATATCAAAAGTTGTAAAGTTGCTATCAAGTTGGATAACTTCATTACTGATTTTTGACATTACTTCAGATCAATCTTTTTTCGGATTATATTCAATATTTTACTTTTCACAGGCACTTCTATGTGTATTCAATGTATACTCGTAAAAGCCTCAGACGGAATCACCCTCTTCTCGTTCACTTGTTCAGCTGTTGCTTATGTTCAGTTCATTTTCTGTGTTAAAACAGTACAAACCTGAAGTGATTTTCATTAAGTTTATCAGTGGAGTATAATGTTTATTCTGGTTTCATCACATTTCCGAATTTTCTCTCCTCGGAAGCTGTCGATTTAGGCAGCTAAAAAGCGGCAGTAGGTTCCACTGAATTAGAATACACTAAAAACGAACATATTTGGAGGGTAATCCGAGCTAGTTTCATTTTGTGGATTCACTTCAACCGCATACATCCCAAATAAGTCCATTTTATGTTACAAAATTTCTGAACATACTTTTCACATTGATTTCAAGTTACAGTTAGAAAGTATAAGCAACATAATTTCAAATATGATGTAAATGGACAATTATTTAGTGTTAAAAAATAACTACTTTTACTTTGTAATCCCACAAAGGGTTGGAATTCAGATTAATCTTGCAAACAAGAATGGACTAGAGACAAAATAAAAAACAGAAAAACAGAGTTAATTTCTACATATTATGGTGGAGAGTTCAGGAGGTGGGGGTGAATTATTGTTTCCTTTAGTTCCTAGAAAAACATACGGCTTCAGCCTCACATCTCCATTGCTTTCGGTTACCCAACAGCGTTTTGACCTCGCTTCACGTCTACCCACATGCTTGTATCTCCTTTTCGCATGACCACCTCCATGTTACCCTCAAACTGACGACCGACTCGCCGCATCCCATTCCGCTTCCATTCGAGTGATGGCCTAACGTGTGATGTCACTCACTTGATGTTTTGTTTTCTCAGAGAATGCCAATCCACCTCCATTTCTACAACAAAATAAGAAGACGTAGTTTATCTGAAACGTGTAATGTATTGGTGCAACACATTTCGGACATTCTGATCACTCACGTACTTATCATACACAGTTTTTATACAAGGCAAGAAGGCATGATTAATTGCAATACAGGTCAGATTGTGTACAGGTCAAGGTCACAAATAATGGGTAGGGAGACGCGAAAGGTGTGGGTGAGAAAGATGAAAAGAGAAAAACAAGGCAAAGAAGGGGTTGAAAATATTATGAAGTAAATTGGACCTTGGTTCTAAATTGGATTACCAAGGCAGGTTTAAGGTGATAACAAATAACTTTTGGACACATAGGACAGGTTTAAGTCTCTTTATGGCTAAGGCTTCAATGAATTTAAGTATGTGGCCCAACCTTGTTTTATATATCGGCTTAAAGGCATTGTTGAAATCAACCTTATGACCTGTCTCTATAATGTGCTTCGCTATAGATGATGTTGGACATCTATTTCCGGGGTCAATTGTGTCTGGCGATTTCATTTGTTGTCGCAGCCACTTTGGAATGTGTTCTGTAGCCCTAACCTGCAGAGACCGATAGGTCCTCCCTATGTACGTGTCTGCACACATACATGTAAATTGATAAACAGTGGGATGTGACACTATCGTTCGGATAATGTGAGGGCTTACAGGACAGCATAGTTCTCGTTTTCTCTATGAAGATAAGCTTAGCTGCATAATAAGTTCTATTAATTGCGCCTTGAGTCTTTGTCTAGTGACCAGACTTTGTTGATCACCTCTGAACGGCAAGGATATGTAAACATCCTTTTAGGGAGCTGATTGGATTGGTAGAGCTCTATGGTTGACGCTTCCGTAACGCCTAATAAATCTCAGTGGGTAATTGTTATCTAACAATATCTCAGTGAGGTGTTGTCTTTCTTCTTCAATTGTATCAGCAGTACATATACGGTGAATGCGCTTGAACAAACATTTAACCAACGCCTTTTTATGCAATAGTGGACAGAAACTATGATAATTTAGATACTGTCCCGTCCATGTGGACTTTCTGTAGACAGATCGTTTTACTGACCCATCTCGGTGGGTTATGAGTATATCTAAAAATGGCAGGCAACCATTATTCTCTTTAATGTATGTTAGCGATATGCTGTTTTGTACTCTGTTGATTTGGTTCAGGATTTCTATGGCGTCTGTTGGTTTATCACAAATGACTATGTCATCTACATATCTTTTATAAAAATAAACTTTTCCAATTTCTTTCTCCACTAGGTTCTCGACATGTGACATGTATATATCAGCTAACAATGGACCTAGGGGGCTTCCCATAGCAACACCATCGATCTGGCGATAATGCTCGCCCTCGAATGTAAACTTAACATTGTTAGTACAGAAAAGCAGTAAGATAAGTAAGATATGGATACTGGTAATAGGAAATCGTTGTCAGAGATGTAATCACATAAAATGTCAACTGTCTGTAAAAGAGGTACATTTGTAAATAAAGATTCAACATCTAGGGAAAACATGGTTTTGTCCTTTATATCAACGTTGTCAAGACAATCAATTAACTCAAAAGTGTCTTTCAATGAGAACTTACAGAAGCTTCTTTTAATAGGCTCTAATATTTCCACTAGCCACTGTGCAAGTTTGTGGGTTGGAGATCTGCACATTGACATTATGGGACGTAGAGGAATGTTAGGTTTATGTGTTTTGGGCAGACCATACATGTGTGGAAATTGGGACTGCGTCGGCTTTAGTGAATTGAATTTCTCTCTGTTAATCGCATTCATGTTTACGAGTTTTACTAGATTATTTGTCACCATATTTTGTACATTCTTCACATCCTCCAGACTGGAGTCTCTCATAAATTTATCATTGTTTCCAAGAATGCATAACATTTTACTTTTGTATTCACTTTTATCCATTGTAACTACACCAGACCCTTTATCTGGTCTGAGGGTAACGATGTCAGTATTATGTTTGAGTTCTTTTAGCGCTTCAAAGTGCTTCAACTGGTCATATTGATTTTCAAATTGTGCGTGTTCTTCGGGTTCTGAGAAATACTTTTGAGGAACGCAAAACTTAGGTCCAAGTGATAAGGTTTGTTTCTGTAATGATGAAAGTGTTATAAAAGACAAGTTGACAACGTATTTCTCTGAATTGACAGGGAAAGGAGTTGCAAGTTTGTTGTCATTAAGTGATTTGCCTAGCTTCTTACGCATTTTTGCTCTTGTTTTAACAGCGAGGGATGTACAGAAAGCAGTGAATTTCATGTTACATATTAAAGATAATTCCGACAAAACAGATGAAGTAGATGTATGAATCAGCAGTAATTGCTGCAGCTTTTCTTCTGTTTTTCAATATGCGATTTGGCAAGACGAAGAAGGCTGGAATTATTTGGTTGCAGTTTACTTCATTTCAAAATTTTGTAAAAATGTCTTGTAAAGGTGTGATTAGAAATACAGGATTTATGAAATTCCAGTCTTTCACATTCCGAAATAATTTTGCACTTAAGGTTAACAAGATCATCTAGCTTCTTGATAGTGCAAAGAGGTAGTCTTCTCTTCAAAAATCTAAAGCAATTAGTTCTCTTTATGAATTTCCACAACACAATAAGAAGACGAACTTTATCTGAAACGTGTAACACGCTTTGCTTCTTCTGCCAACTTGTTGCTTTTCATATGCATACCTTCCAGTCTGTGGGAACTCAGACATATATCATCGGCGAAATCCAGATCCTCGAAGTTTTTTGTGTGGGTCCATTTTATGCCTGTCTCCTCGTTGCCCGCTGTTTGTCGCACTGTCTAGTCTACCGCAATCCGGACGGCGTAGTTTAGCATTCACCGAATTTCCACCATATCATCGTACACGTTGGTTCAGTCGTTTGCGAATCACGGACTCTACGATAAGTGTACGTCTTCTTCTCATATTTTTTTTAATGACCCTTAAAAATGGATCCGTTTCCAGTAAGAACGTTTGAGTATCACTCGAAGTTCGTATGATAAAAAAAAAACACAATTCATAACTTCACTCATAATATTGTACTTCACGTTGGAGATAAATACAGCTAGTGTACTTTTTATAGATGAATTGCTACTCAGTTTTGATATGCTGTAAAGTCTAACCAAATCGGTGATTTTTCCACTATCCTGTAAATTTCATTAGGTAAACTAAGTAGTGTTTTAGATACTTGATTATGTCATTATTATTAAAATAATGCCTTTCTATGTGCTCATAATGTGTGCGTCGGTGGCATACCGGTTAGGACGCTCGCCGACCATGCACATGGTCCGGGGTTCGAACCCCGGGCGACGCACTCCTTTACCTCACTAAGCCATAAATAATGCTGGTGAAGAGGAAAGGTTGGGCATGAGGCTAGCAACCCTATCCTGTAAAATAAACACTGCTAAAGAAACTTCAAGCCACTAGCTTGAAGCCCTATGTTCCACTGGGGAACGTGAAGGAAAAAAAATGTGCTCATAATATATCCACCTAGTAATATAGAAATGATGCGTTAAAACTTTGCTCCGTCATCATTTTCCTGTATAACTGCTTTATCCTCATGGAATGGGTGGTATTTTTAACAAAAGGTTTTTTGGATAGTAGGACGAATATTTTGAGTATCTTATTGAATCATATTACTCTTATATTAGATCGAATCAGTTAGACGCGAGCTGCAAGCAAATAATATTCAATCTCAAGTGAAATCAAAGTCTCAAGAGACTTCTGCCACTGAAGGACAAACAAGTTCTTCAAAATGGACAAACGAAATGATTCAGATTCTTGTCAAAGCAGTCAATCTTCTTCCTGCTGGAACACCTAAACGGTAAGCGTGTTTTTGTTTTAAGTGTATGCTTTGGTTACGCTATCGCTCAGCGGTTTAAATTCGTCATTTTCAACAGTAGGTCCGGGGTTTGAATCTCGCTCTGTCTTCCTGAGCCTGTTTAACTGGGTAAGTTCAATGGTAGTTACACAACAGGCGGGGTTCATAGCTTATGCTGAGTAACTAAATTCCCCTAGTTCTATTTTTCCCAATTTCTTTAGAAAATTTTATTTCTTTGCCTTTCCGAGTGGGAAATGTGACTTCAAGCTTGAGTTTTGGAGTTTAAGTAGCATTGAGTTTTTTTACGGGGTGAGGTGGCTATCCTCATGCCCAACTTCCCCTCTTTGTCAGGCTTACAGCCGCCTAGGTGAGGTAGGTGTGTGTCCCCTTCGCGGACCGAACCATGGACCACGTGCATGGTCGACGAGCATCCTACCGACGTACTATGTTAAAGAAGAAAAGACCGAGGAGGCTGAAAGGGATGTTTATTTGGTGAAACGTACGGTACATAGCTAAATTTGGTATACCATATTCTCAACCTGCCATTTGCACATTTACCACATCCTTGACGAATTGGTCGAATATCGTCACATTCGATAGCTTCTTGGATTCTGCATCATATGGCAACATTCTCCTCATGGTTCTCTTCTTTGATTGCTCTTTCCAGTGTGCCAAACATATTGTTACTTTTTTGAATTCGTTTCTGATATACTACTTACATCGGATTATAAGTAGCACTCACCACACTATTTCCCTCTATTTCAACCATTAATCTGAATTGAACGTATTTGTTAAATTACTTTGGTATGTATGATGCGTTTCCAGTAGACTGGAGTAATAAATTTTGCTATGAATAATGTCAATTTCACAGTGTAATTTAAAGTGTAATTAGTCTGCAATCAGTGTATATATGTATGTGAACCTTACCTTTCGTCACTAGTATCAAACACTGACGTCTAAATCGAGATTGACATAAATTAATGTTGTAGAAGCATTGCAGATTCAGAATACAGCTAAATATGGTTTCATCGTAGAGTAAATTTATAACATAAAAGCACACGGTGATACAGTATTATTTACTGATGACTTTTTGAGCACAATTTATTGCTCCATTATGCGTGTAACAAGAAACTAACGGAACAAATCAACCAAAAGCCGATCGCTCAGCAAATATGCAGGAGAAAATGGAGATGGATTGATCGGGCATACATTGAGGGAACCGTCGAATGACATCGCGCGCCAGGCTATCGCTCGAGTGGAATCCTAATGGGAAGCGATGAGTGGGTGGTGGGTGCGAGGGTGACATGGAGGAGGTCCTGTGGGGAGGAGGAGATAAGAGATCATGGGCAATCGTGGACCCAGCTGAAGAGGACGGCAGAAAACAGGACGAAGTGACATGTTAAAGCCCTGTGTTCCACTTGGACCCCAAGGGAATAATTATAATAGTGTACGTGCTTATCGTTACGTAAGTATAAGAAGTGTTATAGTTGCTTTTATCCGTTGTTAATCATTGTTATTATTATTATTATTATTAACCTTCCTCCATTTACCTCGGTTCTCTGAAGTCCTTTCACTGGCTTCACGATTACCCATAAATAACCTTCCATCTCCTTCCTGTCCCCCTTGGACATCCAACTCGTCGTTTCCCATTCAGTTTCCACTCTCATTTGATATTACTCACCAGTCTCATCAGTGTATTTCCAATTCATCTTTATTGCCTTCTGCTTATGTGTTGGGCGATAGATTCCTGGTTGGTTCGTTGCCTACCAGAGTTCCTTATTGCTTATCCTTTCTGGTTGGTCACCTGATATTCAGTATGGAGTAAAGGCAGTTGTTGGTTAAAGTCTGCTGTCTCGTTAATATTACATCTAATCAATTGATTATGACTGTAATAATTGAATTAGTGTTTAAATTCACGAAGTCTAGTAGAGTTGTTTCATTTTAAATATCTTAATAAGTAACATTATTTTAACAAGACGTTCATTCCTTCATTTTTGTTTTGCCTAATTTTTTTTAAAGTTGGGAAGCTATCGCCGCTTACGTGAATCAGCATGTTAATGGTGTCTCTGTAACTGGTAAAGAAGTATTAAAGCAGGCCAAATTGTTAAAGGAGGAAGGTTAGTGTCGATTATTTTTTTCTTTGTAGGTATTTCTCTTTGTTGTTATATTATTTATGTGATGTAAAAAATGCAGTGAGATGAAATGAGAAACTGTTTCCAAGATCACATCGCAGTATATGCTTGTTTCTGTTAGCGAAATTGTGTAACACAAGAAAAAGTAAAGCAGTATAATATGAGCTCAATTTTTATTTAAATGGTATCCATATCGCAATACATAAATGACAAAGAGAAATACATTCTTTTCATGAAGTTAACAAGACGCTTATTGATAGAAATACCATGGTTATACTTCAGTTATCCCATACATATATATATATATATATATATTCGTGTTTATTTATGTGTGATATGTAGTGTTTAGATGGGTGCATACTGCTTTAGGCTTTGTAGAAGTGTACCCTTGTGATAAGGTTATCTGTCATTGTATTTCGGAGCCCTCTTTATGGCTTAAGTGCTTATACTACTCATTAGTTACTTAAACTGAAGTAGGTAGAGCAGGTTTGGAACACTTCCATTCAAATGGGTTTAAACCATTGAGTTACATCTCTGATAATATTGTAGATGATCAAAGTGGAAGATATTGTATGTTAAAATTCATTATTTAAAGAGTGTTTTGATACTTTAATGAAGCGATCAAATAGTCAAGTTAATCCCATACAACATGTACTGGAGAAAGTTCTTAAATTTTGTGGATAGTTTTGGCATTTCTTTCTATATTAGGTATTTCGTTAGAAACTAAAAACGTTCGAAGAATACTGTCTAAGACTAAGATAAAACAGCTGTCTGGTAGTACTCCCGGGTTTTCCGATGTCAGCTCATGTTAAAATCCTTAAGTTTTATAGTTCATTGGACATTTAATATAGTTGACTATTGTTCTTCTACCAGCTGTTGTGTGATTGTTAAATTATTATTAAAACTCAGATTTGGTACATTGTGGGCACCAAGAAATGTGCCATACAAAATTTCATAGTTTGTACGAGGGCTGTGATACTATCCAGATGCCGAGACCGAAGCAGATGGTTTCTTTAAGGAGCCAACTCCCCCTGGCCGTTGACTTAACGTTTGATCCACAAGACAGTAGAACAGCATCATGAGCTACATTCCCACGGTTTCTGGTTCATACATCATTCGGTCCTTTCGGATTCTGGTGTCCGTGTACACCATAAGTTTGGAATCAGGGTTTTCCAGCTGTCGTAGGTATATCTGTATGTCCACCAGTCTGGCTGTAAGCTGCAGATGTTCGCCTTTGAGAGGAGCACCGCCGCTGCGTCAAGACAGTACGTCACATGGAAACATTTTGAGACGAAGACCGATGTCTATCCACCTTCAGCTGCATCAGATGGTTTATGGGGGCTCTGTTGTTAAAAATAAGTGTTGTATCTTAAAAGATCCCATATGTTATACAGATGTGATTGCACATATAATTAAATGTATTAAGTGAAGGAAGTTGATCTGATAATCTTGATATCATTTTTTTAATTTCAATCTGATCGTTGTCTTTTGTTTTGCCTTTATATCCTTGTTAGATTCAACTATACGTAAAACAGCTAATACTAAAGCATTCGATTCATTTACTAACACTGTCAAGGAGACGGATGCTGTTAAAAATGCAACAATCACAACTCACTTAGAAGGTTTGTTATTTATAATTTTGAAAAAATTAATATAAGAAAGTTCAACTGTTTTTTTTAGTAGAATTCTGTTTATTTTTAATTTTTTTCACTGCATTACTACTTCCAGACATTTTCCTTTAGCTCTGTAATCGTGTGTGTGTGTGGATATATCAAGTACATATATGTATGACGGAGAAGATTTGTAGCTCAGGTGAATGATTTTGAATGAGTTGTGTTCTCTGAACTGGTTGATTTAATTGTGAAGCTTTTGTCATCCTTCTAGACAACATCTTCAGTGCAGCTTTTAGTATAAAATGGACTTATTTAAATTCTCCATGAATGATGGATGTAATTGTATCTGCTGGCAACCATTGTCGTGACTGGTTGTTGATTTACACCTACCTCTATTGATCATTTTTGTTGACTTGGAATTTGAATTTTCTTGTCATGTAATTTACTCTTTATTAGTTGGCAAATTTGGTCTATAGTAATGTGCTTTTTAATTGCTGATTCACTTGAGTATCATCTAGGCTTCTAGGAATTCTCTGGTATCTTTGGTGTTTTCTCTATTTAAAATTTCTACATTATCGCAATCAAATTGGTGACCATAATTATCTACATGCATTGATATGAAAGAGTATATATCATACCTTTTTGCGGCTAACTTGTGTTCTTGATGTAGGTAAAAACTAGTCGCCTAAACCGAAGTAGATGGTGGATCGGAAAAACTGCGCGGTTTAAATGAAATTTCTAATCTTTCTCGTTGTTTACTGCATTTATCAGTGCCCACTAGCTTGCAGACTCTATGTATGAATATCTACACACTGTGTATTGTAAGAATTAAGCTATATATGCAATGGTACTTAGCAAAGGAATCTTGGTATTAGATGGTTTGAGGCAATCGGCAAGAAGCCTTGGACCTAGGTTTCGTGCTAGTTAGCACTCATCAGCAAGGCGTATCTGCAACCTCGAAGGAACTCATGTCCCTTCTGAGATTCGAATCCGCGTCACCCAGTGCTGCAGTCAATATCCAATACAGTCCTACAGGAGATCGATTGCGAGCCTGAATAGCTCAGTGGTAACGTCTGTGAATGCATTACTGGGTGACGCGGGTTTGAATCTCAGGAGGGACATGAGTTCCTTCAAGGTTGTAGATAAGTCTTGCTGATTGGTGAGTGCCAACTAGCACAAAAACTAGGTGCAAGGCTTCCTGACGATTGCCTCCAACCATCTAATACCAACAATTCACAGTGCACTATGATGGCGAACCACCTAGCATGGTGGCCACGTTGCAAACTTGACTGATAGAATTCAGTCTGCACCGAAGATAGGACTAGACACGTTACACTAGTTACTGGCTAATGTCCAATCAAAAAAAGAATCTTGACCGCACTGTTTGTTCTTTATGCATCTTCAAATGGTAGCAATGATTTCATATTTGTAATCCTCTAAGTCAGACGTTTCACTGTCAGTTAGTTCGCTATTGGGGAGTTCAATCCCTTTTTAATTCAGTGCTGATGATGCTGTGTTAAAAGACAAATAATTGAATCATCTTAATTCAGATAAAGCAACTATCCTGACTTCAGTCAAATCTGTACACTTATCCATGTTTACTAACTGATCCGATAAATGTTTATTATCAATGTTTTTTGGTATTCAGACATATCGAACAATGTTTAGAGCTAGTGTTTTGTAAAATTCTCCTTACATCAAATGAACATCAGTCTCAATTCGCCACATAGGACAGCGAAGCCTATTTGTCTACGTTATCGCTTTAACTTGTAACTTTTTATGTGAAGTTCCCTACGTTTATTACATCCTGTTGAACAGAGGCGATGTTAAATTGAGTAGAAAACCAAACAGTATATCTGAGCTGCGTGATTCATTTTCCTTCTTATGGATTCAACAAATTTTAATAAGCTCTGCATTCTCTTATTTTGGTGTTAATTTGGTATACGTTACTTTCACTTCGTTTGTAAAAGCAGTAACTTATGTGTGTTGTGTAGAACTCATTTATGTGATGTCTGATGTAAAAGTCACCTGATAATTAGGTACAACCTTAGACTATTCTCATAGTAACAGAATGAATTTGCGTACCCGTCATTGACGAAATCTGTCGTTATACAGTTGTTAAAATCATCGAATCCCTTTTTTGTGAAAAAAAGTGGACACATAGTATTTTGAAGTGTTGGTTAATAGGGATTTGATTGGTTTCAGGATGTCATCATGAACTGACATCGGTTAGAAGACTATTGGGTGCGCGTACTGATGAAGAGTCCCACATTAGGACAAAACAGATGTCTAGCAGTACTCCCAGGTTTTCCAATGGTCCTCTAACCGATGTCAGTTGATGATGAAATTCAGGTACTATTTTACCATTATAAAATTATGGTCCGGTAAACTAAAAGGTTGCATTAATTTTCAATCAATCATAGCCGAAGGATTTCGTCCTTGGACAGTTGTTGAACAACGTGCCTTAGAACAAGCCTTGAAGACTTATCCAAGTTCTGTTGGAGATTCTGGTCAAGGTGATGATCGATGGCAGCGGATAGCAGATGTTGTTGGCACTCGCACTCGACGTGAATGTATACTACGATGCAAAGAATTAGCAGAACAAGTATGTCCATTATTCATCATAAAATTCATGCATAGTCTTCTCGAATGTTTTACTTAATAAAATATAGTTTTGATGATTGTTGATAACCAACTCTGTTAATGAATATATGTTATGTGACCGAAGAAGGTTTACAAAATTATCAAATTATTTTGTCCAATAGTCACATCATTTTTCAGTTACAGTTATCGACTTAATATTCTGAAAACTAATTCTTATATATCCGACTATCAACCAAGGGACGTGTGTACTGCTCAGCAGTTCGCTCCGTCCTTCTCTATGGCTCTGAAACATGGCCGATACGAGTTGAAGACATGAAAAGGTTGACTGTTTTTGATCATAGATGTTTACGATCTCTTTCTCACGTTAGGTGGCATAATAAGGTAAGTAATGTTGACGTTAGGCGTAGAGTGTTGGGCAAAGAAGGAAAATCAATCGAAGAGGCTATAAAGTTACATAGATTGAGGTGGCTAGGTCACGTGCTGCGCATGCCTAACCATCGCCCCCCCCCGACGGGCATTACTAGCTGATATAGGTGCAGGTTCTGTCTGTCTGTCTGGATTCAACATAGAACTTGGCACCGAAGTGCAGCAGTTCGAGTTGCCACGTTCCAAATAGCACACAAACGTAGACAAGAAAATGAGTGAAGAGAATCAATAGAGTTTTGACAAGCATAAGAGTGAAACAGAAAAAGTGATATAGGTGCAGGTTGGAAAAGAGTAAGTGGTGGCCAAACAAAAACATGGCATCAATCCATGAAATCCTTGACAGTTAAACTGAATCAGGTAGGGTGATGCAGACTTCCGTGTTGGGGCCCTCGGAACTCTAAGAATCAATGGCTGGAGACAATAAGTGACATGGCTCAAAATCGTTGTCAATGGCGCAGATGTATTCAGTCTCTGTAATCTTTCATATTCCTTTCTACCATCACTTTTTCTGTTTCACTCTTATACTTGTCAAAACTCTATTGATTCTCTTCACTCACTTTCTTGTCTACCTTTGTGGGCTATTTGGAACGTGGCAACTCGAACTGCTGCACTTCGGTGCCAAGTTCTATGTTGAATCCAGACAGACAGACAATTCTTATATAATATTGAGATATGAAGTGTCAAGTGAATTTTAAACGATGAGTTTTTTCTTTGCTTATTTTCATTTTCAGGTTCGCGCTAAAAAAGCTGCACTGGCTGCAGTCAAAAAACCATCGAATTCAACAACAGCAGCATCCGCTCAAAATAAGCCGTAGGTGTAGTGATGGAAGTATTTCAGAGCAGTGTGAGAAGGAAATTATCTTCAAAACAGATTATGTCATACCGCTTCTCACAGTCTCCCAATTTTCTAAGAAGGGTAATCTTTTATTAATTCAATGCATATTCATACAGGAGAGAACTGTGTAGAGTAGCCTTGATAGTCCAAAATATTGATCAATACATCGTCTGAATGTGCCTACATTTTCATTATCCCGTGTGAGATGACACGTAGAAATGAAATTGTCGATATTTTTGTAAATTGTATTTCGCTCAATAGAATCCCTTCACCCGTCAGACTATATAAACATTATGTATATATATATATATTTATGCATACCTGTTTTCTTGAAGTATCTTCTCTTTTCACTATTCTTATAATCTTTTAAGTATTTTGTTGGACAAATTTATATTGACATGAACCAAACCATCCTACGACGTAGTGTTTTTGAAGAAATATATTTCATCTCTAAAGTCAGTGTGTGTTCTAATTTCTTATCTTGGAGATATGATCGAAAAGCCTAAAAATGTTAAGAACTTTTACTGACTAATCCTTGTCAAAGTTCACAAGCATCTCATAACGATCGAAAGCTGCTACCTTGACGCGGTGGTCGGGCTTGCATATCGCAATGACCCAACGAGCTACACTGGCTGGAACTTAAGTTCCTGTAGGTCCTACCATGCCAGAAAGGTTGTTTGGATAGCGGTTAGACAAAAAGCAGCTACCCAATCCAATGCCATGACTCAAACAAAAACTCAAAATATCATGCCGGATCGGTCGGGGCCCGGATTAACAACGACCGCGCTTCCTGCTGCCGTGTCACAGGGCAGAAGTGATAAATACGCTACTGAGACACACCAAATAAAAAAAGAAAGAAGTTTCATATTAGACGTTTTCTGATACGTTGTCAAAGTAGGCTGTGTGTCTTCATCGATCGAGATTGTTGAAACGTGTCCTATTCATGCTTAACCGTCTGTCTATTTCTTGAACGAACTATGGTAAGTGAAGGAACACCAGCTTACAGACGACAGTCACAAACTATGGATTAGGAATATGTAGAAATGTATAGGTTGGCTGATCATAGCCTTTCGAAATTGAGAATCAGTGTTTGAAAGCTCGTGGTAACATAGTTCAGAATTGTTTACAGTGTCAATAATATATTCACTGTATCGTTTACCTTATAAACATCTTAACTCCTTCTAGGCGAGGATGCTGACAAATGCAGAGTCTGCTGAACACCTTGAGTACCAATCTTCGTATGTTTGGCATGCGATATGCCCCTGTAAAAAGTAAGATGATGCTGCAGGATTGGACTACACCGACTCCTAGATTAGAAATAGGAAGTGAAGTGGTAGAGCACGTTGACCGCTTCACTTACTTGGGAAGTACCATCAGCCCCAACGGGTTGATCTCAGACGAAATCTCAGTACGAATACAGAGGGCTAGTTTAGCATATGCTAGTTTACGCCGTCTCTGGCGTAGACGTGATATCCGACTATCGACCAAAGGGCGTGTGTACTGCTCAGCAGTCCGCTCCGTCCTCCTTTATGGCTGTGAGACCTGGCCATTGAGAGCAGAAGACATGAAAAGATTAGCTGTCTTTGATCATAGGTGCCTACGTTCTATCTCCCGTGTGAAGTGGTATAATAGGGTGAGCAATATTGAGGTTAGGCGTCGAGTTCTAGGTAAGGAGGGGAAATCAGTCGTCGAAACTGTGAAATTACATCGACTGAGATGGTTAGGACATGTGTTACGTATGCATGCCTAGTCATCGCCTTCCTCGACGGGCAATGTTAGCTGACATAGGGTCAGGCTGGTAAAAAGCCAGCGGCGGTCAAACGAAAACATGGCACCAGTCAATGAAATCCACAACAGTTAGTTTAAGTCAGCCACGTAAGAAGGTGTAGACTTCGTGGTTGGGGTCCTCGGGAGGGTAAAAACCAATGGTTGGAAACAATTGGTGACATGGCTCAAAATCATTCTCAGTGGCGCAGATGCGTCCACTCCTTGTGATTTATGATTTCCAATTAAATTGTTTTGTTCTCCGTTATTACTATTCCTTTGTCTCACACCTCTGTTTACTGTCTATATTATGCATTTCTTTCTTATCTTGTTTTGTGTGCTACATGGAGTGTGGCGACTTGAACTGCCGCACATATGTGCAAAGTTCTATGTCGAAGACAGACAGACTCCTCTCTGGTTAAATCTGTTTCGCGAGGATTATTATTTACCTAAGGGTTAGAGGCTTTTGCATGTTACCATCTTGATTTTGACGTTTGCTAGGCTGTTCTGATATATGCTGTGTAATACATTGTTGAATACTTGTATCACATCTCGGAGTTTTCCTGTGGGTTTTACATCTTTCAAATAGTTGCTTCCGCTGGAAAATTTTGAAACATGGCTTTCCTAGCTGAAAATGTATAACACTTATTTATTCTGCCATCTCTGTCTGCTGCTCTCTTTGATGGTAAAATCCTTTGGTGACACGCTTTCCAACGTAACATACATATATATATATATCATTCGGTGAGTAAAGTCGTCCTAATACACACACTTTATAGGCAGTTCATACACATACTGTCGTAGCGACCTTCATGTGATTACTACGTTGAGGAGTTTGAATAGTTGGCCAGACTATGACGTCATCGGATGCTTATGTCTTATTGCAAGGATTTGTTATAGTGATAAGCATCTCAGATTATGGAAATGTGATATTGTAGCCTTATCAATTTATCTGAATGGAAAAGGATTTGCATGCAAACAATATTTTGGGCTTCACCTAAACTGGATTATCTCTTAGTTTCACTGAATGATCATGATATACATTTTTCTGTAACCGTCCAAATGTTTCCAATTGTGCAGCACGTTTCATTTCTGCTAACTACGAAACCACTGGTACGCAAGGTTGTGATCTTCCGGATTAGTAGTTCTATTTTACAATACACTGAGAAATTATGTTTTATGTGCATTTCGTTTCACTCTTGAGCATCCCAGATGTCTCATCGCTGCATCGTATGCATGGAAATGATAACTAGGTGTGCAAATTCGTTGAAAAGCTGAATGACGATGGTACACTTAAGTATGGTAGACGGGAGTCTGTCAGCAGTAAGCCCTTGATGAGAGTGCACATTAATCAGTGAGTTTTAGTCAACACTTTAAGTCAGATAGACACATTTACAATTATGAAACTAATGAGTGGCGTGCATAATTCATTCATCCACAGTGTTAGCCATTTCTGGTAAAGTCCCTGGTGAGTATTTGTAAGTGCAAAAATGATGCCGGGAGCCCTTTTTGTTTATATTCCAGAGTTATACTGCAACACTATATGCTGATTAAATCAATGTATTTACTTCTTACCGGATATACTTCTTATGCTAAGGAGCGTTATCATTTGATGAGAAATTCTAAACTCTGGCGGTCTTTCAAGTATTGGTTTGTAAAGATTCGACTGATTGGTTACAGAACTTCATCATACGCTGACGTCGGTTAGAGAACCACTGGAAAACCAGGGAGTACTGGACAGCTGTTCCGTTCTAGTTTTGGACTCTTCATCAGTACGCACCCACTGCCAGGGTTCGAACCCAGGACCTGGTTACAAGGCGAGCTCGCAGACCATTAGGTCACTGGGACCCGATCCAATGGCGAGCCCATGAATTCCAACTTGTTTCAATTCACGACATAGCGTAACCACTAGCCAATGTCTTCGGAGAGTATTTGTCCTCACACCCGTCGTGACCAGTGGTGTACAGCGACTTCCCACTAGAATTTATTTTTAAACCATTACTTTACTGACTTCAACCAGTACTTATAGCTTGAAATGTACGTCAATTTCTTCACTTGTAGTGTGTGAAGTATATATGGGTAAGTTTTCGAAGGAAGCAATAGAAGTTAATGAGTGAATTATCCTGTTTGTAACTTATTAGTGTTTTTCTATGCGTCCTTCTAATTTAGGAAGCTACATAGAATAATTTTTGGATGCCCGCATTAGCCGATGTTCATTTACCATATGACGTAAACGGGCATTACAAAATCAATACCAGCTATTTTAGTTTGGGTTTATCAAGGTCACTGTATCAGAGAGCAGTGAGGATTTATTCTGAAGAAGCTTAAGAAGATATAAGGCGCATAGAAAAATGTGTAGGAAATAATTATTTTACAAATTTGGGATGCTATGTGATGAGGTTAAAAAAAAAGGTTAGCCAACAGATAAAATGCACAGTTTCGAGAACCTATCTAGACGCTAAACTGGTCTGTCGTACAAAAGCATGTGCACTAAAATAGTCCCGACGAAACCGATTTCACACTAGTTGTAATTATACATTCACGCGTACATGATGAATCAAGTTCATAGGAATAATAGAAAGCCGGTCGTCTACTATGATTGCTGAACAAGTGCCGGGGACTTCACGCTTCAGAGGTCCGGGTTCGTTTGATGGTGCCACAACTTATCACCTAGTTGATACAGGGAATCACCTTGACATATCAGATTCTTTCTCGACATATCGAAGCAGTTAATATTCGAAGAGCGAGGCGTAAAGTATGTGTGTCAAGAGATGTCTGTTACCAACTGATCACTACCTCAGTAGGTACTGACATTTCTACTTATATCTGGCTTCACTAATATTACTTACTCTCCTTAAAATATAAAACGATCATATTGAAATTCAAATGTTGGTATGTTCAGTATGCATCAGATAGAAACCTTAAATACGTTACTTAAGTTTACTAGACAGTAGTCTGAAAAATTCATTTCATATAAATTTACTTCGCACATCAGCCAGCTTCTGTCTAGTCTTAGACATTAAATCAAAATTATGTAATCCTCAAATAAAAGAAAATGAATTGTATTCGGCACCTTTTTTTACTATTATTTCTGTCTTGAAAATTTTGATTACCCTCCATTTCAGTGTTCTTGGTTCCCTTTTTTTATGGAAATTGATGTACCGGTTGAGTAACCATTGATTAATTAATATTCTCCGCCAATTAATTTCATTAAATACGTGAATATCATTATAATATCAATGTAGAGTACTAATGTGCCGAAAATGTATTCTTCTGGATTAAGAGAATACGTTCGTCCACCAATCAGTAGTTGAGTATCATATATCAAATACTTGTTAGTTAAAAGAAAATTAAAAAAAAAAAGAAAATAGAACAAAGTTAAATCGTAAAGTGTGGATAGCTGTTGTTAGCAAATAAAAAAGTTGACAATTTTATGTACATATTTTAAAACTGCCTCAGTCAAACTTACTTCTATTCAAAACTTGGTTTTTTATAATTTCTCAATCACATCATCATAATAAAGGTTTTTTATACTTCCCAATGAATGAATAAAAAACCAAACGATACTGTTGTTTTTACTGACGTTCCGCTACTTAATGCTTCTGCTAATAACTTTAACAAAGTATTATTAAACTACAATTTGCAAAATCTCAGCTTATATATAACAAATGAATCATCGTTCCTCAGTATGGGGT